ATATATATATACTAGATTAAAATGCCAGGGATAGTGAAAGAAAATTATAAACCTCCGTCCCCTATCGCTGTTGGGTGTTTGGTCATTGCTCCTGGGCCGTTCCACCACTTCTCCAATCTGACCGACGAAGCTATCCCGCACCTTTTCCCGTCATCTGCTTCATCTTTGTCCCCACCGCTGCCGAGTGTTTATTAACTGCACCTAGGTGCGTCCAGTATTTAACAGTTTGGCAGACAGACGCGTATACTGTCTGTTATAAATGCAAAGTTCTGGTTGTTCGTCCATCTCTGGACCTTGGTCTTGACCCAGAACTAGGACTTTGCCTGCATACATCCATTCAACAGATCTGGCTTATTTGTGTGCAGACACCACGTTACTTGCCTCTCAGGCTAAGGGTGTTAACAGCCGCAAGTTTACTGTACCTGGTTTTTGTCGGGAGCCCTGAATATAGCCGGGCCATAAATATGGCATAACAACTGCAAGATGTTTCTGGGACCTCTCCACGGATGCTCCTCATTCGCATGGTGGCACCTTGTGTCACTGGCCCCCCCCCCCCCCCCCCCCCCTTCTTGTGTGATGTCCTGGTGGGTACAACAAGAGACAGAAAGTTGACTGTTATTTGATTATGCGTTTGGTAACTGCCTTTGTCCCTGTAATCCCCAAACACGAAGCACACAAACGGACACTCGCCCACAAATTATACTTCGCCTTAACACCGCAAGGTACACGAAGATCAAGATGAGGTGAGATTTACTGCCCGTACTTAACAACATTTTAGCACCGTGGGAGTTGTCAAACCTGGGTCTCCAAAATGACAGGCCCACATACTCTACCCTACTAACTGCTTCTCTTGTACATGAGTTTCTTCTTCATTCAAGTTTTCTTTTATTATCATCATAATTCAAGATTTTTTTTCTACTTTCATCCTTATTTAAGTTTGAGATTTTCTGCTTTATCATTCATGATTTTCTTTCTACACTATCCACATTAAAGATTTCATTTTCTTTTTTTCACTCTTATTCAAAATAACGTTTCCTTCTACACTTATCATTCAAGATTAAGTTGCTTTCTTCTTTAATCCTCATTCAAGATTAAGTTCTCTCCTTGACTTGTTTGTATCCCTGTTTATGCTTACACCATTGGTACCTGTGTATCAGCAATTGCAATTGTAACCTACAAAAAAAAAAAAACATTTCTTTCTGTAACCTTCAAAAACAGTATCAACATCTGCACTTCATGACAGAAGATTAAAAGATTCATAACAATGTAAACATTTTTAAAACACCAGCTAAAAGACAGAGGAACAACTTAAGGTGTGTACACAAATTTCAAATGAAATAATGACAGCTGTGGGGGGTTACCATATAACAATTTAATGACACAAATTCAACACCCCACTGCCGCAAAAACACCCTTAAAACCCATGTAAGTTTTATACATGACTCTGGGGTACTGTTGAAGCAGTGAAGTTATAACAAAGGTAAAAGTGGTCTTGCAGGAGGCTCTGGACTGGACTTGAACCATGAAACTTGTGTTATCTTGAAAAACTGAGTCGCTGTAGTGTAGCGGCTAGATGGCTCGCCTGTGGATCGGAAGGTCATGGGTTCAGGTACTGGCGATACTTGACTTTTCTCCAAAATGGTCTTGGCTCTCAGGTCCACCCAGCCTTCAATGGGCACCAGGTGGAGTCCTGGGAAGTAAAGGTGGCCGAATGATGCTGACCACATCAGCCACCAAGTCAGATTGTTCTATAAAATACAGGTTTAGCCTTATTTGCCTAATAAGCCCGAAGCTGTGGGAAATGAGTCCTTTACTTTTTTAAAAATAATTTTGTCTTTTTACTTTTTTCATCTTGAAAAAAATAAACCCTGACAAACATGTCAAACTGGTCAGCTTCCTAACATGGTACAATCACACACAAAAAACAAAATGAATATTGTAGCTAGAAAGCCTTCACCAGCACACATGTCCGGACTACAATACATCAGAGAATACATAAAATAACATTTCGGTGAAACACCTTTTATCTGATATCTACATCCAGTTAATCTGATAGCTCTTAATGCTTTCAGTACCAGAAAATTCACCACGTTTATTGATGACTCAACATGTTGGATACACTTCTTAATTCATTCTATCCAGTTCTTCTGTAATGATAATCCATTATATTTCAACTGTTACTATAACTTCTTTTACCTGATAGTTGTATTAGTTTGGCTGCTTAAAATTGTAAGGCTGCCACTTTATTGTGCATAAACTTTGAGACAGTTAGTGATTAAGTTCTAGTCTGGAACTCAAAATCGTTAATGAGACATAAAATACATCAAGTCAGTCTAATTTGCAAACAAACAGAATTAAAACAACAACATATACACACAAATAACACATTAACAGAAGCAGTAGTATGGTAGAGAGATGCTCACATGTCGACCCCAAGGTGTAAAGTTATAATCTGAATCCAGACATTTTTCAAAAACGACGGTGACTTCCAGATCGACTCAGCCTAAAATGGGTACCATGTAATAACCTCGGAAATAAAGGTGGCTAGAGTGATGTTGACCACATTACCCACTGAGTATCAGTTGGTCTCCTCCACAAAAATGAGTCTAGCATCATATGCCCTCTGTGAGTTCTAGGGCCCCATTGTTGGAAACATAAGAATAGACCTACTGCCCCCCCCCCCACCCCCCCCCCCCACAAGCATGTCATTAAAGGTGGTTATTATGGGTGTTTCTTTCAAACATCAGAGTGCATCTGCCTGAGATGTGGGGTACCATAAGTCTGCATACAAATAAGTAGGATCTGTAAAAGACAAATGCATTCAAAACTTAAAAGTCCAGAAGGGGATGAACAGCCAGAAATGTCCACTGGAGTTTGCAGCTGTAAACGCTAAGAAGATGAAGAAGAATATGCCCAGTGAGCCCTAATATTTACTTAGCTTCACTAGAGTAAGAGCTGCTTTACTTTAGTAAGTAAGAATAGCTCTGGTAGATTCAATAAAAGTTGCATCAGTTGAATAAGTAACAGTTGCTTTACTAGAATAAGTAAGAGTTGCTTTACAAGAATAAGTAAGAGTTGCTTTACAAGAATAAGTAAGAGTTACTTTACAAGAACCTAAGTGAGGAGCAACAACCCAACACGCCCAAACAGAGGCTGGGCAATGAATAAAAGTGTAGCAGTCAGGTAAAGGCAGTCAGTCACAAAGCAGACACTGTCACTGGGATGTGTTAAGCCTTCAGCCGGTGGGGTCCCAGTTTTTTTTTTGGGGGGGGGGGGGGGGGGGGGGTGGGGGGGGGGGGGGGGGGGGGGGGGGGGGGGGGGTGTGATATAGACCCACTGCAGCCCTCACAAGCATGCCATAAGAAGCGACTAATTAAAGTTTTGCTGAAATCTGTGTTGGGCCAAAAGGCATAAATATCGCAGCCTAGCTGTAAACCACAAACCAGCTGCCCTTTTAAGGATGAATGCAGAAGAAGAAGATATTCTAGCCCATGACAAACAAGGTGAAGAAGCGACTAATTAAAGTTTTGCTGAAATCAAATGTGTTGGGCCAAAAGGCACAGATATCCCAGCCTAGCTATAAACCACAAACCAACTTCCATTTTAAGGATGAATGCAGAAGAAGAAGATATTCTAGCCCATGACATACCCCACATCTGTCCTCGCAATAATTAAGATATTATTCTATATCCGTTTTTAACCAGACTGGATCTACCCCAGAGTCAGAAAAACAATTCTGCAGTCTCTGGAGATTGAACTCAGGCCACTGACTCAGCAAGCAAACACACTAATCTCTATATCACTGTGGCTCCTGGAGATGGTTTCCACCTAAAACAACTGGACAACTCTGTATATGTAGCACCGTGTGCTTCCTTGTTCTAAAAAATTACCGCCAGAAAACAATGGTAACAAACATTCAACGACCATTGTGTATACCCTATCCTTCTTTGTTCAGCGGCTGTAAGCTCCAGCAGAAAGTCCTGGTTGTTTGCCCATTTGCACTTTGGCCTTGTGCCATGACCTGAGTTTTGCGTGCACATCTGTTTTACTGGCTTATTTGTCTGCAGTTTGTTGTTCCTGGCAGATGCGCCCCGACTTCGAAGGAAGTCCCCATTTAGTCGATTCCTACGTCATGCTTTTTGGGAAGGCAGTGGGTCTATTCTTTTTTTTCGTCACAATGGAGCCCCGGAACCCACACGGAAAATGTATATACCCAAGACAAGGGGAAAAAAACATATTCAGGAGCTACAGTTACAAAGCCATGGTGGTGTAGTGACTAGCTATGTGACCACTGACTCAAAGATCTGGGAATTTCGAATCCACACCAGGCCTCTATGTGAATCCAACCAAAAACAGAGGAAATAACTTTGGGAAGTAAAGGTGACCAGCACGATGCTGACCACATCACCCATCAAGCGTTAACTGATTTAAAAAAATATGAGTCTAACACCATATTCCTGGTACACACTGGCAAGAAAAAAAAGTTTTTGGATGCGTATGGTGAAAAACAACATTAGAACTCATACAAGACAAACAACATCACGACTCACACAAGACAAACAACATCACAACTCACACAAGGCGAATAACTAAAATAAATGCATTGTTTGTGAGCTTAAAGACAGAAAAGTGATTGTACGAAGCAAATGTTGAAAAAAAATACATCAGAATAAACGGAACAATAATACACTGCTTATTCTATTCGTCATTACCAACAAGTAAATCTATACCAGAGGCCTAGCACTTTATGAAGAAAATGTCAATTAAACTGAACAACTGAACACTGTTTATATATATATATATATATATTGTCATTGTGAATAAATAAATCTATATCCGGAGAACAGTACTTTGTGAAAAAATGAAAATAGAAATGAACAATAAAGAACTGATTATTTAATATGTCATTGTGAATAAATAAATCTATACCAGAGACCTAGTACTTTGTGAAGAAAATGTAAATCAAAATGGTAAAATGATTCTACAGCAGTCGGTGTCAGCTACACCCAGTCTTGAGGCTTCTTCAGTACTTCTGTCAACTTGGCCTCTTTGGATCCAGGCTCAGGTGCATGCATGTACTCCCACCTCTGTGGACAAAGAAATCACAAGACTGTATCCATCAGCATTGATGTTAATACCAACCACACAACATTTCCACTGCTGCAGAATATTTCTAATATTTTATTTAATATGCCCATGGAAAAGTTTGGGCAACCAGTCGGATCAATAGTTATAAGACAAAGAAGGGGGCCTGTGTGGTCTCAAGGCATGGCGTCCGCCTTGAGTGCTAGAGGTTCCAGGTTCAATCCCCGGTGAGGGCTGGGATTTTTTTGCGTGGACCTGAACTTTTAGTAATTCCCTCTGGTCTATAGGCAGTGAGATCGGACACCAGTGTGCATTGTTGAGCACGTAAAAAAAAATCCCTTGGCAGTTGGAAATCAAAAAGAGTAGCCTAACGGTGCTGCCTGGTCGATATTTGGAGTTAAAAATCTACGCAAAGTATTTCAGGATCCTCACCGGTGCTACTGTGACAATACGCGCGGTGACTTCAGAATGTCTTTCCTCAACCTACTTTTATTTCTTTGTATTTTGAAAGTATACAGGAAAATAGGGATTTGGATACATCCTTAATCTAAGTAAGACGACCACATCACACCTTTAATTCTCCTGGACCGTTGGTCATATCAAACACTAAAACTTTTTCCCAGATGTTAAGTGTTGAGGTACAGAGATAAGACTGACTAAGCAGACTTACTGACTGGAGATTTGCACACCATTGGTTGGTGTCAGATATTTATCTCGTAGCCAGATCTTCAGGAGCAGATAACAGGGGCTAATTGCCATTATCTCCCCCTGAGGTTACCTAAACTGGAGTGCAGGTCCGACGGTCACTATTGACATGGTGAGCAGAAAGTGTTAACAGAAGAATTGACACTGTCTGATTTTATTGTGATGACAAGTGAAGTAGAGCGGAGGTGTGACTTGGCCTATTAGCTTTGACCAGCTTAATTGAACCAGGAGATCCTAGCGTGGGAATTCAAACAATAATTGTACAGTCACTGACTGACAGTGAATATACACCCACAAGGAAGGAGCTGTGACATCCTTGAATGAGAATGATTTTAGGCGTAATGTAGGAGGAGCTTGATAAAAGTTATAAAGGGCTGAACTCTAGGTCTGGTAAATGAGATCCTGTCCAGCACATGCCATCTGTTAGGCTTAACCTAAGCTTGAGACAGAATTTTTGGCATCGTGGTTTCATTTTTCCAGGTAAGATCGAAACTAGGTTCAAATCTATCTTTTATGATAGAGATCTGTCTTTTTGCTCAAGTGTGTGTCTTCATCACTTTGTAATACTCCTAGGCGGACATTTCTTCATTCTCATAGGGCACTGTCACATTGCTTTATATCCTATTTGATAGTGTCATGAATGTTTTTTCGTGCACATGTGTTTCAATGTTGTAAAACCTAAATGTTGTTGTTGCCATTGAAATTTAATGAACTATCATGTTTTTGAAATCACAAGCGTGAAGATAACTTTGGCAATCTTTTCACGTGTGGTTAATGTGAATCTGTATTACATACAGCTAACACACTGAAATGTGTTTAACTCTCAGGAGGCTAATGCGGAGATTGATCCCGGAGAGTAAATCCACGAGATTTGTTATTTGATTCGCCCCAGAACTATTGTTAGCATTCTGGGCGCGTCGATTGTTCCAAGCATAGATTCCAGAACTGGTTCTGTCTGACTGATTGTCATTTTGAGTCTGTACGAGAGATGGCACCTGACGTAGAAGACTTGACTATCATTACAGGACGTGTAGAGGAAGGCAGAAGATGTAACAGTTGGAATGTGAGACATAAGCCCTTCCAAATTGGACAGGAGTGAATGTGAGCATGAGGGAGAGATGAAATGTTTTATTTACATAAACATGCTTGATGTTAGTATAATATACATGCTTAGTGTACATCTAGAGCAGATACTACAAATATGCGCTTGTTTCTTCATTCTCCAGTTCCCACATTGGGTAGGGACTAGTAGGCATCCATTAATTGCCGACCGTCGAGTGTAACGACCTGCAGAAAGCAGTGAGGACGACAAACTGGAAAAGATAGGCAGGGTCTCAAGCCGAGAACTGTCCAAAGGTTGTTACTTTCCAATACCTTTATGATTTCATCATTCACATCATTTCAACTCTACTAGCCTAAACAAGTTCATTTTAATTTCGATTTATTCAAATAAATCATGTTTTATGAGTTTCATGATAGTTGAGTAAATTGTGTACTTAGGTTCAAGTGTCTTTGTGCATATTAGTTTACTTCAGCTAACAAATATTTAAATCACTTGATGGGGGCTTTTAAGTAATGCCAGGAGAGGAGAATAGTCGCAGGGGTTAACTGTGTATCGAGATAATATCACAGTGGGTGTATCCTGATATCTATCTATCCCTTCTCCTACTCCTGTGGATACAAGTACAGCAACTTTCATTTCATGGAACGAGCCACTCGCTGTTTTCTTGGCTATCCAGGACTGTCTAGGATCAACATAGCTTAGATAATAGTCCAGTTTCTCACGTGGGTGGGCATTGTTAAGGTTCAAACCCACACCCTCACTATATCAGTGTATTTACCCACGTGGGCGCGCGACAGCTACAGAGCCTGTGCACTGTGCTGAGCTTCTTCGGACTCTGACTTGAGTTAGAAGAAAGAACGGAGCACTTATAGGTTACTACCGGTGTGCCATGATGTTGATCCGTTCCTCAAACCTCAAGACAAAGAAGTACTGTACTGGTCTTATTCTGAGAAGAGACAAACAGAGAATCACCAAACAGGTTCTGAAATAGGAAACAGATGAAGTGAGAAAATGAGGACGCCTAAGGCAAATGTTGATTAGACAGGCCAAAGGTCCTGGACTGGACTGCATCCATGATATCCAGGTTATTACATTTAAAAAAAAAATTGTTTTAAATGTATTGGTCTGAATTCATATCCAGGCAGACTAGATTATAAAAGCTCCTAGGTTGACTGAGCCTAAATTGGGTACCAGGATATGTTGTGGATATTAAAGACAGACAGTGTGGTGTAGACTACACATCTAAAATAGAAATATGCTAAAAACTAAAACAGTTGTGTGTACATCACCCATTGAGTTACGAATGGTCTACAAAATATGAGTCTAGTATATTATACTCATTGTGGGGCGTCACAGGTCGACCCAGCCTAAAATGGGTACCAGGATAGCTGTCCTGGGGAAGTAAAGACGACTGGCATAATGCTAACCACTTACCCACCTAGTGCTACTGGTCTGTAAAAATATGGGCGCGCTTCCCATATACCTGATAGGCCATAAGACATGAAAAGCCATCTACTCTTTTTTTAAATTTTTTTTTATTTTACTTATTGGGCCACTAAAAAAAAAATGGGGGGGGGGGGGGGGGGGGGGGGGGGGGGGGTTAATTACTTTTTGTGTGTTATACACATGAGAAAGAATTCTAAAAATCTCAAAAAAAAAAAAAAAAAAAGAAGCAAGCCAAACACAACCTATGTACAAATATAAACATTTAATTAAATATGCTATGAAAGTGTGAATATGAAGAGGTCTATAATACTATAAGGCTAACTATTATAAACAAAATCTAGAATGCATAAAAGAGGCTGACAGCAAGAGAGAGTAGTAAAAAGTACAGGACCCCTTTTCCTAACCTTCGGGCGCACTGGGCATATAAGGCTTGACCTATATTTTTTTAGACCAATCGCCACTCTTTGGGTGATGTGGTCAGCATCATACTGGCCTCCTTTACTTTCTAGGACTTTGCATTTTAAGGCTGGGTCAACCTAAAAGCCAAAATTATTATTGAAGAAAAAAAAAAACATTCTGGAGAAAATAGTAGTACAGTAAAACTAGCAAATTTCAGTAAGGTATGTCAACTCTCCCCGACTTACAGCTATCAGAGGTAAGGACATCAAAATACTCTCATATCTGGCTCCTGGGGTGTACAAACCAAACTTGGTTCCTCTGTCATAGATGAGATTAAATTCAACATATCTGCCACGCCGGAGAAGCTGCCATTGTCTGCAAGAGAAACAACAAGTATTTTATTGTTGGTGGTCGACTAAAGTTGGCATCTGTGGACTTAATTACGAACATGATTCATAATTCCAAAAACCCAGTTCATTTTAGCTGCAGGTAAATTGGAAGCAGACCTTTGTGCTCACTTTGACAGTCTGTGTAAACATCTAACTCAGACAATGAGATAAACACAGACTGTTTGAACCAGAGGTAGGCGTCATAACCATAATCCACCCTCTCCTCACCATTCTGACCTTCATAACAGTTTATTTGAATGAACTAACCTGTTTTAGAAAGGACATGAGATGAGTTACACATGACAGCAGAAGACAGGATGACTTGATGTTATGTAGTTAGGGTCTAGGCCCCAATTAGGACGAGAATTCTTCTACTTCTTCTTCACACTCACTGGCTGTAAATTGTGACAGAAAGTTCTAATTGCTCGTCCACCTCTGAACTTTAGTCTTGTTTCAGAATCTGAGTGCTGCATTCAGATCCATTTCACAGATCTGACTTATCTGCATGCAAACTGTTGGTTCCTTGTCTCTGAGGATGATGCATTTAGACTCTGAAGGAAGCCTCCTTCGCCTTCCTCAGTAGCCAATAAAAATGTCCCATACTGATAGTGCCTGTTCAGCCTGATTAAAAGTCCTCCTGTCCTTTCCCCTATCCAATAGTGCATTTCAGTCATCTCCTTGTGAGATGCAATTTTTCGTTATTTGAAGCCCTACTCTGGCTCTTGCCAGGGGCTGCAATATAGCCTGACCATAAATATGGTCTAATGGCGGTTTCTGGGACCTCTCCACGGTGATCCTCATCCATATGGTGGCACTTTGTGTCATCTGGTGTTTTTGCATGTGTGATGTCCTGGTGGGATAGAAAGTGTCAGTTTTCCTACCCACACCCCAGTGTATCCGTCTTCTGATCAAGGTATGACCACATAATGAGAAGAGACACTGGAGAACACCATGACAACTGGAAAGATCAATGGAAAAAGAGGTAGAGGCAGACCACGAGAGATGATGTTAGATTGGCTAAAACGATGGCATGGAGGGATATCATCATGAGAGCTGTTCCAGGCAACCAGGAAATATGAACTGTGGAGACCCACGAGCGCCTACGCCAGTTGGCAGGGCACATGATGATGATGATGGAGACTGGTCTTAGGGGCAGAAGAAGAAGAAGGAGAAGAAGAGGGGGAGGAGGAAGAAGACTGTGCCTCAGTAAAAAGCCTTACCTCTCTGCGTAACTGTAACCGTCCTTCTTATGTTTTTGGACCAAGGGCACATAGGAACTAACAACTGAATCTGCACAAGTCTGAAATAAAGATGTCATCAGTTCTGATCCATGTTTTTGGTGACACATTTAGCTGATACTCAAACAGGAATATGGTCATCAGGAAGCAAATTTCTTTGCTTTTCTTTTATTCATTTTGTAAACTGTCCATGCTGAGGAATATTAGTAATCATGTCTTCCCGCAGCCTGTTGTCTCTCACATTCTGCTAGCTATTTCAGATACAGATCTTTCTCTATACCAAACACATCTGATGGTCTCCCCTTGCCTTTCTTCCCCCTAACTTTCATGCTGTCACAAATACTCTACTTTAACCCTTTTCATGATGTGTTTTCAGAATGCAGATGTTGCCTTCTCAAGTGTGGTTAACCAGTGCTCTTTAGTGATAATTTCTTTCAAGACTGTGTAACTAAATGCACACATATATGTGTGTGTGTATGTAAATATACATATATGAGCACGCAATGGTACTAATGGTGGGAACTGAGAAAACACATGTAATATTCATCGATGAGTCCACCAACCACACAGAACAGTCAATTACTTCAAGCAGCAGTAGTTTCAACATCTATCACTTACTAAATACCTATACGTTTTTTACTAGTGAACTACTGAGATAAGATGGTTCAGCGACTTACTTTCAGACGCCGCCTCTCATACAACACAAATTCCAACCGCCGCAAGGTATCTAAGACACCCGGTGGAGAGTTGGTTTATTTGTACCAGAAAAAGCTTGCAAAGACACCAATAGGTGGTGATTACAAGACCAAGCTCAGGGGGGTGCGATCAGTGAGTCCCCACAAGCTGAGTGCTTTGAGCAAGCGCCAGAAGACAGTCAGTCGTGCATATGGAGGATCACTGTGCCACAAAGCTGTCAGAGAACAAATCATTCATGCTTTCCTCATTGAGGAGCAGAAGATCGTAGCCAGGGTTCTCAAGGCACAAGAGGCCAGCAAGAACACACCAAAATTTCTGTTGACAATTAAATTTTGTAAATGCAAAAAAGGCAGGGAATCCCTATATGACTGTTTTATACAGTAGAACAGGGTGTCTGGGAGTTGCTCTTACTGGATATCACAGTCAGCTTTTTGAGTCACTGGCGTTACACATTCAAACAGCAGTCAAAAGTGACTTAAGCCCACCAATGTTTAGCTAGACAGGCACCTCATATACACTGCACTCAGCTCCCAACACACACACACATATATTTATATACACTAGCGAAATAAATGCAGTTACCGAAAGGAACAATTTTGTCATAGTTTTTGCAATTAAATCTGTGTAATTTAATGAGTGAAAGTGTTCAAATTGTAATCAAGGATACCTTGGGGTTCAACCAACAACTGACAGTTCTTCTGCAACTGGGTCACTGATAGTTTTTAGGCTAATGGGCTTTTCTGTCAACCAATACAAACACGCCATCATATAACTATGCATTTTTTTAAGAGAGAGAGAGAGGAGAGAGAGAGAGAGAAAGAGAGAGTGTGTGTGTGTGCAAGCATGTTATAAATATGTGTGTAAGGTTTTCTCAGTGTGACCTATCAAACACCAGCATCTTTTCCTCAATGCATATTCACTGGAATTTGTTTAATTCTCTTTTAAAGCTCCAGTTTAGTGACTCTGTCATATTCTTTAACTTCTAATGCATGCTTAATGCAATTAAAATAATCATGACAAGAGAAGTTCACTATTTTGTGCATGAATACAAACCTTCACAAATTCAAAGCATTTAGCTTGTGATGGTTCATCAACGTCATCAAAGAAAATACCACCAACTCCTCGCCGTTCACCTGAAGAGCAACCAAAATCACCAGTAAATGTGAGACCCTCAAAGACAAAGTGAAATATAAAGCAAACAACAGATACCTTTTGTTTCTAAAGACCGGAAAGGCTAAAACGGACAATAAAGAAGTTAAATTGAATGTGTCAGCAGAAAGGTGCAAATATCGTAACCAAGTTATAAACGGGCACAATGCATTTACATCTTCGGATGAACGTAGAAGAAGTTTCCTTAGAAATATGGCAGGTCTGCATGGCTCTCTAGCTTAGAGGTTGGTGGAATTGTTTTATTATTATACATCATTTTCCTGATGCAGCAATGCCTTATGCAATTAACTGTGTGTGCAACTACTGATCTACTGTAACTACTGCTTCCCTCTATGATGAACTGGTTTTCCAGTGTCAGCACGTCTGGCGGCTGCCTTATGCATTTAGTATGTGTGTATGCTACTGCCTTTGCTATTGCAGTGGAGAATACATGTTAAAAAATAGTCGAAAACAAGTCCCAAAAAATGGTCACAAATTCGACACTTAAGCTTGTCTTACATTCGGCCTTTCCAAACGCTCATCTTTCACACAGCAATTTATTTTGTGTATAAAGCATGTTATTTTCATATTACAAGATACATAATATAAAGGACATTTTTCCACACCTTGAAGCATATTGGGCATATAGTGCTAGACTTATATTTTATAAATCAATCAGCACTCATTGGGTGATATGGTCAACATTATGCCGTCCACCTTTACTTCCCAGACGTTACCCGGTACCTCTTTCAGACTGGGTCGACCTGGTAGTCAGGGTAAATTTTTTTTTTAAAGTCTGCTCTGTTCAGATTTGAACCCATGACTTTCATATCTGCATGTGAGCATCTAACCGCTACAAGAAGTTAAGCACACCAAAGTCTGGTGGGTAGTCAATGTATGGACACACATATATATATATATATATATGTGCATCTATCCATCCACTCACCCACCTGCATCCACATACTGGGACAAATTGCTTTAGCCCTGATAACTACTGAAATATGTTATCTTTTTTTTTCACAACAACCATGGCTCAAACAGCAAAATAGCCATTGCTACTTGTTCAGTTAACATGACCATATTGTCTCATGACACTTGAGTCTCTTGTGATAAGGCAGCCTCTTATGATGACAGCACTTAAGATATCCCTCAGCAGACAGTATGTCAAATCTATGTTTTCACAAAATATTTTAGTATACTTGATGTCAGCGTCTGTGCCTTAGGCTTTGTGCACACACTTTGTAATGTCGGGGAGGGGGGGGGGGGCAGGTTCGATCCCAGGCCTTGCACCTAGAGTTGGTTTCGACAGTGGTATCGAGAAGCCGACCGCAAACAATGACAAACTGCTGAACGTAAATTTGCCTAGAAAAACCACAACAGCCAACGCTGGGGTTGGTTCTGTAACATCCTGTAAAGGATACGCAACTAATACTTGAAGTTTGAGTCGTAGTACCGTAGTGGCTAGAAGCTCGTCTATCGGCCTGAAGGTTCTGGATTAGAATTAGCATCAAGAGAGATTTTTTTCTTTAAAACTGACTTTGGCTTTCCCGTTATCCCAGCTTAAAATAGGTGCCAGATAATGTCCTGGGAAGTGAAGATGGCCTACAAGATGTTTGACCCCAACATCCATGGAATGCTATTTGGTCTATAAAAAATATGAGTCACGCATCATATTCCTGATTCTTCTTATTTCTTCCCTTTTCCTCTTAAAGAGGAAATAGGTCACACCTGTTGTACCTCAACGCTCAATATATTTCACTTCAATATTCATGTGTGAAAGGTTCCACACACTGAACATTTTCCTCTCAAGGTAGGCACTTCCATCAACCTACAGAATCCCAAACAAGCTAAGGGCAAATTTGTCTGTCATTGAAAATTTGTCACAACAGCCCAGGATATACTGTTCTTTGCCCTTATTCGAGAAGGTCAGAGAGAGACACTAATTGACAAAAGTAGGTAAACTAATAATCCAGATATAAGAAGTAAGAAGGTTAGACACAGGTACATGATCAAAGACAGCAAGAACATTATTTTACCTTTGGAAATACCAAGGAATGTATTGACAAATGAGTGCTATTGAAAGAGTAAAGTAAGTTAGTAAAGATCAAATTTTCACGCCTTTAGGCGCATCGGGCCTATGGGAAGAGCATCCATATTTTTAAAGACAATCGGCACTAGGTGGGTAATGTGGTCAGCATTATGCTGGCCTCTTTACTTTCCCAAGACATACATCCCGGTACCCATTTTAGGCTGGGTCGACCTGAGACGCCCCATACCATGATAAAAAGCCACGAAGCCAGCAGTGGGTTTTGATCGTGGTACATTGAAATTTTGAGTCGAATGAAAGAGTTAAAATCTAAAATGTAGGTAAAAAGAGGAAACTCAAGGTGAGGTGGCTATAAACAAACTATAGTCCCAAAATCTAACCAATTATAAGCCAGTTAGATAAAATACTTGACATAAGTTGGCTGAGGGAGATGCTGCAGTATAGCAGCCAGATGCTCACCCGTGGATCCAAAAGTCGTGGGTTCATATCCTCACGGTCTTTTTTCTTCAAAAATGTATTTGGCTCCCAGGTCAATAAAGCTTTAGAAGGTACCAGGTAAAATACTGAGAAGTAAAGGCAGCCAGGGTGATAGTGACCACATAACCCACTGAGTGCTAATTGCTATTTAAAATAAAGGTCTAGCCTCAATATGACTGAATGTGAGAAAAAGGGTTCTCTAACAAATTAGCTGAGGTCCTGTGCTTCACTAGAAGATGAAAGACAAAAGAAGAAAGAAGAGACAGTCTCTGCACAGACATTACCAATAAAAGAACAGTTCTTCATCCATTGCTGGAAAAAAAATTTTCACCAAAACATAATTCGGTTAAGAAATAGGCCAGAGAATTATATTAGGCAATGATACTTATAACTGACACGAAAACTACTTACTGAAGAAAAACACACAGAAAGATACACATTTCAGCACTTAAAATTGGTTCTAAAGCTAATACTTGAAAAATGTGGTCTACCTACTTAATGGCAAACTGCTGTATGCATAATGTTTATACTTGTGTTAGCACTCTCAAAGACAGTGGAAGAATATAAATGTTTATTACCACCAGGTATTTGACATAGGAATATTTTTTAACTGACTTGGGCTCTTGGGTCAACCTGGTTCAACATGGCTCTTAGGAAATGTAATGAGAAGTAAAGGTACTAGGCATGATACTGACTTTATCACCCACTGAGTGCTATCATCATCATCAAGTGCACCAGCATGTATCAGTTCCTATCGACACCCCTCCATGCCATGACAAAATGGCTGTCAAAAATTGTCTCATGTTGTCCTCCTCTGTCTCTTTTTCCTGCAGATCAGTCCAATGGGTTTTAACTCATTCCAGTTTTCTTCTTCTCATAATGATAAAGCTATTGGGTATGATACTGATTATATCACCACACTGAGTGCTATCATCATCAAGTGCACTGACGTCAGGTGTGGGTTGTCATGTCTCTCCACAACAGCATTTTTCAGTTCATGCTGACACCACTTCATGCCATGACAAAAGGCTGTCAAGAATCGCCTCATGTTGTCCTCCTCTTCCGCAGATCTGTCCAATCGTCACAACATAGATTCTAGTTTCCTTCTTCACATAATACGCCCCCCAAAAAATGATGACGTCTCTTTCAGATGTTTGTGATAAACCTTTAAAGAACATGTTGACCATGTTATAACAAATACACACAAAGGCCTTCAGCAATGAGGGTCCTGACCGCTACTAACGCTGAGCAAAGACTGTTTATGTTCCAGGGACTTGTACTTTCTCCTATCGAATATGCTCTAGCCATTCTCACTGTCAGCCACACTCAGATTGAAAGACTTGAGAAGGTGCAAAACGAAGCAATGCGCATTATTCTGGGGTGCACTGGAGACACCTCTTGTGTAGCGATGAGGTACCTTCTTGACTTCCCTACCATGAACTACAGGATCAAGATCTGGAGGGCTTGTGCATAACGCAAGATAAGCTTAAATCTAAAGCACCCTTTGCACCCCATGCTCTTCAATTAAAAAAGGCAATAGGCTTAGAAGGGGCAAATCATGGCTGGGTAGGGCAGAGGATGACATCATGCAGGTATGCAGCCTTACAGATATCCATCCAGGTGAGAAATTGATACCAGCCTCTAAAGCGCCTATTCTCACATTCTCCTGTGTCGTGACGCTCGACTGGAGTTGTCGGAAGCAGAATCCAGCTGCTGTTAATGCTGATGTATGCGCGCTTATCAGTGACAAGGCAGATGTGGTGATCTTCACAGATGGGTCTGTTATACGAGGACATAACATGGGCATTTACAGCTCGCTCTTCAGGCAGAAGAGTTCAAGAAGCCAGCAGTGCCTTCTCAATGACTACCAGCAGTATGACGATGGAGGTGATGGCGGTGACACAGGCTTTCATGTGGCTACAATCACAGGACTATTTCCACGAGTGTGTGTGTGGTGAGTGACTCTTTGAGCATGATCCAGCGGGTCGAGGCAGGCTGGTTTTGCAGACAGTGGTTTGAGTCACTGTAAAACTCTCCTCTGTGTGTGTCCCAGGGTTTGCAGGCGTTGTTGGTAATGAAAGAGCTGATAGACTGGCAGGTGCTGCATTAATTAAAGATGGCCTGCCCATGGATCATGCAGACATTGTCATTGCCCTTAGATAGATATGACATTCTGAGGATTTCGGAAGCAAGGTGTCCAAATCACTGCTAAGAATATGAGAATTGGGAGTAAAGATCAGCACAGCCAAGCATGAGAAGCAGACTGGACACACACAAAGTCTTGCTAACCAACACAGGATTGGCACTATTACCCGCACGATGCTGATCAATATGATGAGAGGGAAATCTGAGCACCTATGGATGAGTTTGGAGTGCTGTGAAGATAATCTTACTCATAACTCAAGCTGTCTTCAAGCATTGATCTTCTTCAAAACATCTGCAATGCTCTTTTTTGACTGTCCATGGAGTGCTAATGATCCAAGTGATATACTGCTATATACAAATATGGGGTTAGCACCATATACATAACCAGTGGCAACCGGGTCACCCACTGGCTCTCCAGCAGACGACTCGTCGTCGGTCTGGACAGTTTTTGGGTCTGTCTCTTATAATCGCATCAATATTGCAAGAGTCCTTTTCATGGCTGCTTGGTGGCGAGCAGCGTTAAGCCACTTTATATGGCACAAATAACCTAGTCACTATTATAATCGGGGATGCTGGCTGAACATGTATTTTTTTTTAAAGAACAAGACGATGACCATATACACAATAAACATGGAAAAGACACATATTTTACTGTTTAGCCAGGCTTATCATGTTACCACAGAAGGCTAGGTAAACAGTAGTGATGGTTGTTTCAGCCTCTTGAAATATGGATGCCAAGAAATAAAAAGTAAAAACTAAAGGACCCCTTACCCTCTCACCCCCCCCACCCCCCAATTTACAAACACCAGTGGTGCATCATGCATATGATGTTAGACTCAATTTTTTTGTTGAAACTAATCGGCACTCTGTGGTCAATAATTGTATCAACAAATACATTACATAGAAAAATTTATGAAAAAGTTAAAAAATTAAAACAAAAGAAAGAGGGGCTGACACAACCAAAGTGAGCGTTGGGATGGCTTAGCTCAGCAATTCCAGCAGGTGCTCAGCAGGGGTTCTGTGGTTGCTGGGGAGGGGGGGGGGATTAATGAAAAGATAATGTAAAGTAGAATCTCCAAAATTATTGACAGGCAAGAAGAGTGAGCGTGCCTGCCACACACTCCTGTGTCATGACCCCTTATTGGTGGTATTTAAGGTTGGTTAGTTGCGTGTCCTTTACAGGACATTACAGAACCAACGTCCAGTAGGTTGCCATTGCTTTCTGGACGGACGGCTTCTCAATACCACTGTCGAAACCAACGCAAGGCCCGCAGCTGGGATCGAACCCGGCACCTCGGCATTACGATGCGTGTCCGCAATGCCTAAGCCACAGATGTTATTGGTGGTAGCTGCGATTAAATTGATCACGATGATAAATTTCAAAGTTTTAATTTAAAAATATAATTTTAATGCATGGACATTACGCAATTATTTAGATATTTCTTATACTTTAATTGTTTCATATCTACCCCCTCTTTCCCCACTATAAAACTCGCATGAAATATGTATATTATTCAAGGTCCACTTCTGGTGGTCCAGTTAGCTCAATTTGTGGAACTTTTAACTGAAGGAGGAGGAAGGGAGAGACAGACAGGTAGACAGACAATGAGAGGGTATGTAAGCAACAATTACAACAAATTACCACATCTAATAAGCCATGTAGCAAATTAACATACTGTACTATATATTAACCAGTTAGAGATAAAGCAAATTATCACATACTGCTTATTAAACTAACCTCTATGTGCTACGCTGAAGTAGTCATCACACCATTTCTTATACTTTGGGTAGAGTTGCTTCCCATGTTGATCACAAGCTTTCTTGAGTGTTTTGTGAAAATGTATAACATCCTGAATAAAAGAATATGTGGGGTTAACAAAGTATCCGCCCTTGCTCCCAGGTCAATCTAGCCTTTAACGTGTACCAGAGAATGAACCAGAAACTGACACCAGTATACCCGAGGCATCCCCACACATGCTGTCCCTTCCTCAGTAGGCAACAAAGAGTTCATGGTTTTTGACCTTTCAGGCCAACGTTTTCCACCTTTGGAGGCAGTGTGAATCATATTTGTGCTGACACAAGTCCCAGATAGGGACAAAGTTTCTAGGATGACCTCACAGGTGGTCCTGGCCAGTATGAGCAGGGGTTCGGGTTCACCACCATGTGTGGTTCAGCACCTCTGCATCTCATCACACCACTGAATTCCATCTGTTCCATGCTGGTACCAGTTAATGAATGTCTGTAGTCTTTCTTTCTGCTCCTTCTCTATTCCCTGTTCATGCTTTAATAATTGACACTGGCACCCTGGATGTACAGCGGCTTGCCTTACTTGAAGACTCAGATCAGGATCATGTCATGAATTTTTTTGTCCAGGATATTCATGTTTGCAAGGTAAAAAACAGGCTGATAGATTAGCTCCTGTCGCTACTCTTGGAGGTAAGCTACTTTATGATAAAGCAGACATGGTGAAGGTACCATGGAATCAAATGGACAGTGCAACACAGCAGACAGGAAATCCACACACTCAAAGACTAATTCAACGTGATGCGAGTAGAGGTTCTGGAAGATATTCATCACTGAGAGGAACACAGGCTGACATTTGATCAGATTACAACTGAAACTATCAGCATGTCGACTCATCATTGGCTACTGAAGAGGGGGCAGTGTACTTGTGGGAATGTCCTGAGTGCAGCAGATTTCAATTCTTGATGTATTCATTTATTCATTTTTCCCTTATTCTCCTTTAGGTGTCAGGTTTTGAAGAGGCATCCTGTGTGAGAATTGGTGGGTGCTGCATGGATGCTGGTATTCATGACTGCAGTTACTCCTACTTCACCTACTCATCACTTGAGTGAGTGACATCTAGCTCTGCTTCCCCTGTATGTATCTAAGTGACATTCTTTGTGGTGCACTGTCTTGTTGCGGTCCTGACACATGTCTGAACCATTTGACCTGTTGTCTTCTGATGCACTTTAGCACTGGTTCGGTCCCCACTTTTTTGAAAATATAATTTCTGACATGTGACTAAGGCCCTGTTAGGGTATATTTTCGGCCTCGATAATTTGGGACCATTATTCAGAGGATAGCCGACATGTCCTTTCTGTTTTAATTTTTTTGAAGTGGCTAACCGCTCATCCAAAGATCTGAAGGTTGCAGGGTTTGATTCCCACCAAAGTCTAACTTTTTTTTTCCCAAATGACCTTGGCTCCAAAGTCAATCCAGCCTAATATGGGTACCAGTAAAGTCCTGGAAAGTTAAGGTGGGCCGGCGTGATGCTGACAACATTACCCACCGAGTTCTGATTGGTCTATAAAATGTAGGTCTAGCCCTGTATGACCAATACATACGAAGGTGTTGAAATGGGGCCTTCACCTACTTTTATTTATTCAATAAATGTTTTGTTTAATGTGGCTGCTGCCTGCATGGACCAGAGAATCAAAAGAAAGCAGCAGGTGACATTCAATAAAATAAACAAATAAAAAATGATACAGTTATACTTACTGCTTCTACCAGATAGTATGGTGTCAGATCTGTGCCTCCCCCAAACCACCACTGCTTCTCGCCATCCTCATCTTCCACCTCAAAATAGCGGTAGTTAAAGTGGACTGTTGGAACGTGAGGATTCCGCTTGAAGAAGAAAAACAATTTATTTCCACAACAACTGTCAATACACCTAATTTTACTAGCCTTGTAAAAAAAAAGGTATAGGGCAATTTTCAGGAAAGGAAGGGTTACGAGGAAGACATTGGCCACCACACATTAAAAGTCATGAGCCAGAGCAACATCATCATGTAGCAGGTCCTTTGCAGAACGTTGGTCTCATCATGATCTGCTTGATTAAAACTTAGTCTCTCGCCAGCTCTCCCGCCTCAAGCTTTTCTACCCAAAGTTTCACTTATATCCTGTGCACATCTTCATGCTGGTTGGTCCTTGCCTCTTTTTCCTGGTAGCATGCCTTCTGTTTTTACTCTGTGCAATCCACTGTGGTGCTTGATAAAGCTAAAATTTGTCAGTTTCCAAGATATTATGTTGTTTACTAGACAGTCTTCTTTGATGTTCATATCTTTTAGAATGTCAGTGTTTCTTTTCTTCTTTGTCCATTGTATTCTCAGATTCTTCTTCTGACATTTCAGCTTGAAAGCCCCTACTTTCATCCGTGCTAGATAGTAAATGATCTCATATCCGTATGTTACCACAGGGAAGATGCATGCTCTCAACATTTTCACTCCTTGCTATTGCTTAACCACAGACGTGTCATGCTGTGTAATCTCTGCATTGCTTTGGCCATCCTCGACTTCTGCTGAACAGTCTCCATTGCTGTCTATGTGTATACAGGATGTGTGTTTGCATTATTCTATAATGTATATTTATTTTATTATAAACATAACATGCATTATTGATAACAGGCATTGGTACTCTGAAAGATGAGTGCTTAAAAGGGTCGATTGTCAGATGGGCCTGCGTGTCAAATTTGCAACCCTCTGAAAATAAAGTTTGTTCGTTCGTTCTATTGTGGAGCCTAGATGACCTAGAGCAGTGGTTCTTAATTAGCTCAGGTCTGGTATGTGAACTGCAAACAATGCTGCATTCTAAAGCTAAAGGGTTTGTTGTAAATATTATCATGGACCCCATAAATTTGTTCTGCAGATCCCTGGAGTCTGCAGACCACCGAATAGGAAACACTGGCCTAGAAGAACATATGAAGGCAGAGGTTAGATGCTTCCCTGTCACTCCTGAGATTGAATCTACAACAAGGCACATGTTTTAATAAATGATCTAAGTTTCCAGGTCGACCCATGCCAAAAAGTTACTGGGAAATAGAAGCAGCCAGTGTGATACTGACCACATCACTTCTAGAGTGCTGACAGGTCTTCTTGAGAAATATAGGTCTAATCCCATATTCCCAATGCTCTAGTGGTGGGAGAAGAGGCCTTTACTGCTCCAGTGGTGGGAGAAGAGGACTTTACTGCTCCAGTGGTGGGACAAGAGGATTTTACTGCTCCAGTGGTGGGAGAAAAGACCTTTACTGATCCAGTGGTGGGAGAAAAGACCTTTACTGATCCAGTGGTGGGAGAAAAGACCTTTACTGCTCCAGTGGTGGGAGAAAAGACCTTTACTGCTCCAGTGGCGGGAGAAAAGGCCTTTACTGCTCCAGTGGTGGGACAAGAGGACCTTACTGCTCCAGTGGTGGGACAAGAGGACCTTACTGCTCCAGTGATGGGACAAGAGAACTTTACTGCTCCAGTGGTGGGAGAAGAGGACTTTACTGCTCCAGTGGTGGGAGAAGAGGACTTGACTGCTCCAGCGGTGGGACAAGAGGATTTTACTGCTCCAGTGGTGGGAGAAAAGACCTTTACTGATCCAGTGGTGGGAGAAAAGACCTTTACTGATCCAGTGGTGGGAGAAAAGACCTTTACTGCTCCAGTGGTGGGAGAAAAGACCTTTACTGCTCCAGTGGTGGGAGAAAAGGCCTTTACTGCTCCAGTGGTGGGACAAGAGGACTTTACTGCTCCAGTGGTGGGAGAAGAGGACTTTACTGCTCCAGTGGTGGGAGAAGAGGACTTTACTGCTCCAGTGGTGGGAGAAGAGGACTTTACTGCTCCAGTGGTGGGAGAAGAGGCCTTAGCTCAGAACAAGCAGAAGACAATATAAAATATGGAATGACAGCAACAAAGACAACATTAACACTACCTGATAAAAAAATTTAAATAATTTACCAATACTTAAATTGTTTTTAACTTTCCACATAAAGTGACTTACAGGATGAACGACTGAGCTCACACCAGCTGCAAAAAACTTTAAAGACTCTCCTTTCATCTTTTTTCCTCTGAAAAAAAAAATACATGCCAAAACTGTGATCTTTTTTTTATTTTTTATTATTCATCTGCATTCACCCGTTAAAAAGAGGTAGTTGGCACATTGTGTTGTGGTTTTAGATAGGCTGTGACATCTCCGCCTTTTGGCATAACCATCTGATTTCAAAACCACAAGCTTTTAATTGTTCGAGGCTGTAAACACCAGTTTCTACAGAGACACAGCCCTTTACAAGGATGAAAGGTTATCTAAATTAGACACTGTTTTATTATTTTCAACAGGTGAAAAGGAGGTTGGTATGGCATCTAAAGCAGGCATGTCAAACTAAAGGTTTCCTGAGGGCTGCATGGGTCACATATGTACTGTCATGAGGACCTCACACACAACTAGTTTATTTATCCTTAAGCTTATCCTTATCACAAATGAAGAACTGAGGAGGAAAACAGAATGTGTGTCACTGGCAAATGTTATCAAAGTAAGATGATGGAGATGGGTTAGACATGTTTGCAGAATGCCTTGTGACAACTTTGGCAAAAATAGCTCTCCGATGGACAGAAGATGGGAAAAGGAGACGTGGATGACCTAAGGAAACCTGGAGAAGGACAACAGAACGTGAAATTAGGGATTGTAAACTGACATGGGATACCATGGGCAGAAAAGCAGCAGACCGGAGGCATGAAGATCACTTGTGAATGCCTTATGTGTCAACAGCGACATGAAGCGGATATAGACAGACAGACAGACAGACAGACAGACAGACAGACAGACAGACTGACAGACAGACAGACAGACAGACAGACAGACAGACAGACAGACAGACAGACAGACAGACAGACAGACAGACAGACAGACAGACAGACAGACAGACAGACAGACTGACAGACAGACAGACAGATAGATAGATAGATAGATAGATAGATAGATAGATAGATAGATAGATAGATAGATAGATAGATAGATAGATAGATAGATAGATAGATAGATAGATAGATAGATAGATAGATAGATAGATGGATAGATAGATAGATAGATAGATAGATACGCTTATTTATTCTTTGCGTGGGCCGCAGGCATGCTTGCAAAGGGCACCTGCGTTTGACAAGCCTGCTCTAAAGGATGCAATAAAATAATTTTCAGGAACCATAACAATTCATAACTTTTTCTAGGATCTCATATGTATATACAGGACTCACAGTGACATAGAAATAAGCATGCCTGCCTGCTAGGTCAGTCATCTGAGTTCAACCCTCGGCAGCAGCAGGAATCTTTTCTTTCTGATTAGTCGGTTTTTGGAGTCGACCCAGCCTCACAAAACATCTCTCAACCAATCAGGTGCCACCTCTACAGTCAAGGTTAGCTGCAGTGGATCTTCAACACTTACTGTCTCTAGTCTTGGTTGTACACTCTCTCAAACTGCTGTTTGTCCATCTCTTGATGTTGTCCTCCCACTTGTACCATTATCTACCTCTTGCTCTCTTACCTTCGACCTTTCTCTTTAAAAAGCATGTTGTCTTTTAATGTGGCCAAAATACTGCAATTGTCTCTTCTTTCTTTCTTTCCACAATTCTCACTTTATTTGCAGTTTTTTCGGAATTTAACTATTTTTAATTTCACTTTTTTTTTTCCATGAAATACGGACTATTCTTCTATTCCTAAAATATGAACCAGCACATTTTCTGGGAACTGTGTGGAAATAAAAGTTGATGCGTTAGGGAACAGGCCACCACAACACACAGTTTGTGGTCTAGGATATGTGAGGGCCTAACAACTCATAAGGGAGCCACATCAAGAGAGCTAGATGGTCACCTGTTAGCCAAAAGATCTAGGAGGGTTCAAGTCCACACCAAGACAAATTTTTTTTTTTTTTTCAAAAGTTACCTGGGCTCTCAGGACAATGTGGCTACAAATGGGTAAAATGGTGATGTCCTGAAAAGTAAAGATGTCTGGCATGATCATGATTACATCACCCCATCAACTGACTGCCAAATGGTCTAAAAATATATAGGTACAGTACTATACGCCAGAGGCACCATTCACATGAAAAGGGTCCCTTATTTACTTAACAATTCACACCTCAGTAGCAGTATCTGCAGTAAGACTACTCTTAGCTAGTTCATCTACAGATCATCCACAAAACACATCTATGTTTTTATTAAACCTTCCCTCAGGTGAAAGGGATACAGAAAATTATCACACCCTTCCTATGTACCAGGGCTATTTAACTGACGTCCCGCGGGCCAAATTTTGCCCGTCAAGGCCTAGCAAGTGGCCCGCGGATCACTTCTAGCTGTATTGCATTTTTGATCTTTCTGTGCTGGGGCTAAGGTCTCTGTTCCGAGACGATCCTCATTTTTGAACATTTTGCCCCTCAGCCAACTTAGTTGAATAGCCCTGCTATATACTAAACCAATTACCCATGCAGTCAACACCACACAACAGAAAAGAGAATTAGGCATCAGAGCTCAGATTTTCTCTGTATATCCCAGTTTGTAGTGGCTGATGACACCACTTTTGTGTTTGTAAACTTGTCTCATTGCCCCCTGCGCATGAACTACCTTCCTGTACACATAAGGACCCTTTTTACACCAAAGGCACATCAGTCATGTGATTCTAGGCACATATTTTTAAAGACCAATCTTCCCTGTGGGGTTTTTTTTTTTGGGGGGGGGGGGGGGGGTACGATTTGAGGTGTGGGACTGGTATTTGTAAGGTACATGAGGCAGAGGAATTGAATAAGAGAGAGGTAAAGCAGTAAGAGACTGATGCTCTGCAATAATGAGGAATATGTAAGTACAAAGTATGCATAATTTACTATAATTTATAATTGTTTCCTTCTTCATCGCCTTTTCTTAGTTTTTCTTCTTCTGCCTCCACCCTCTAAAGCTGGTTGGTTGTGGTTTACAGCTAAGCTGCATTATGCAAAAATTGTGGGTCCAACATATCCTTTTATGACATGTCTGCTAAGGGCCACTGGGTCTAGGACAGCTGGGGCCCAGGAACCCACAAGGGGATCTCACAGTTCAAGCTTTGAGAAGAATGTATATCAAAAACCAATCAAATACTGTAACAATTCAGAGCATAAGTCTTATTAAAAACCCAGTAACATCTGAACCAGATGTGGACACTTCAAACCTCTCAACCATGCTATCCATCTGTGTTTTTATACAATATACATTTTTTTATCACACAGTGAGAAAGAAAAAACTGGAATACACTGTGATAATGAATGAGAAGACAGGCAGAAGGAGATCAAGAAAGAAGATGCTCGACAATCTGGTATCACCACATGAAGAATCAACTGTATCAGAAATGACTGAGACTGCATAAGACAGAAGGCTGTGGAAAGATATGACTACCAACACTAAACAGCATTAACTGTAAAAAAAAGATACTGTTGTAAAATAAGTGGACTCTTAAACATACCTTGCTCTCATCTGTTGTACAGCATTTGGAGGAAGAATGCCAGTGACCACAGAAACATTAACACCGGCTTTCTCAAACACTGTCCCATCTTGCAAGACGCAGGTAATACCACCACCTCCCTGAAAATAACAAACACCTGAATGTTATTACAATTATCGCATACCCAGGCAACAACCACCACTGGTAAATTCTGTTCCATCTATTCAGCGAAGATCTAGCACTAGAACAGGCTGACGAAATGTTACACAACTCTATTTCTGACTGCCACCAAGTGGTCATTTTCACAGATTCGCATGTGTGCTCCAAGCCCTCAAGATTGGTAAACTCCTCACCTGAGATCTGAACTTGGCAAGGTGGCTGCCCAAAGCGTACTGTACTCAAGTGGGTGCCATCCCACTGTGGTATACCAGGGAATGAAACCGCAGATAAACTAGTTAAGAAAGTGGCAGAATGTGAACAAGAAGAGAATGCAGCAACGTAATATGAGAAGAAAGGGGCCATCCAGACTATCAGAAGTGAACAGTCTGGCTAGAGATGACTACCACTTACGTGACTGTCGTGGGCAGGCCATTATTGTATACCTCAGGATAGGACATAACAAACTTAACAAGCATTTGCACAGGCTTTGTCTAAGTAGTTCACCACTGTGCCCTTATGGGCTGTGTGTGCAGACTACAAAACATGCCCTGCAAAAATATCCCTTGTACAGCCCATTAGGAAGGGAATATTGCCTTAATGAGTTAACACTGTAATCAAAGTTCTATGGAGCTAAAAGGGAACTCCTAAAAACTGTCTAGTTTTTCACAAGAACTTGTCTGTTGGTGTAAATCAGAAAGTGAACACAAGAAGAAGAAGAAGAAGAAGATTACCTAAAAGGTTTAGGGGAAGGACCTCATTTCCATACTATCAGCACCAGACTGGTGATTTCTTGACTCAATGAGCGATATTATGTCTGTAATACAAGGGGTTTCAAATGAAAATCTTTAAAGTGTGATAGAAACTTCAATAACCATGCCACCGCCTTGTAACCTGTCAATACTGTTGTTAAGTCTTTCGTCCTGAGAATCTACAAACAAACAAACAAACTTTTATTGTGTGGCCGCAAGGGGATGGGGGCTGTTTGGCTTTTGTTTTCAAACAAAGTTGACGTCAGATTTTCTCGAAAGCATCTGTGACAGAGTTCTTCTTGTCACAGCAGGAGTAAAAGTAAAGTAAAGATCCCTTTTCACACCTTTAGGTGCATCAGGCACATGGGAAGAGCACCTATATTTTTACAGATCAATCAGCCTTAGGTGGGTAATGTGGTCAGCAATACGCCGTCGGTCTTTACTTTCCCAGGACATACATCCTGGTAACCATTTTAGGCTGGGTCAACCTGCCACGCTTCAACACAGCAGGAGTCACCTGATACGTGTGTTTTGTGATCCCTGGCAGATGTATTTCAGATTATGCTTCATCCTGTTTATGTTTATTGATTACTCCTTTTATGTCTTTACATATTTCGAAAAATAATGTAAAACTGCACATAAATAAATTTGCAAACAAATTTATTAATGACCTGTGTAAAAAAAAAAAATTTCCTGATATTTTTCTGGAGCTCTAACGGGTCATGGTCTTTTTTTTTTTTGCTTTAAAGTGTCCCTGGGGCAAAAAGATTAAGGATGTCAAGAGTGTTAAGCATGTGAAATCATGGTGCAAACACAGTTACGTCATAATGACAGTTTAAAGATGGCTGAAAAATTAGGATCATGATTACAAAGCAAAAAGATCGTTTTGACTTTGGAAATAACCTATGAAAAGTTAGCTTATAAATAAGTTTACTTTTGGTATAGCCTAGGAACAGTTAAAACATAAAAACAAAGCTAATAAACCATCTGAATTTAGGAAGGGTGTACCAAAAGTTAGATCATAAATACAAAGTTAAAAAACCATTTGAGTTTAGGAAAGGGTCTATGAAAAGGTAGACCATACATCATCATCATGCAGAAATTTTTGTGATCAGAAAATTGCTCTCATCACAGTCTTGCTCAAAGAAACTTGGGCTCTCGCCAGCTCTCCTGCTTTGTGCACTTTCATATCAAAGGAATTGCTTACATCCTCTGCCCATCTTTGTGTTGGTTAGCTCCTGCCCCACCTTCCTTGTACCATGCCTTCTGCTATTATTTTCGTCCAGTCTGCTGTGGCGCTCGATACGGCCTAAATAATTCAGCTTCCGAGACAAGATGCCGTTTATCAGCCAATCTTCCTTGATGTTCAGATCTTTTAGAATGTCAGTATAACTTTTCTTCTTTGTCCATACAAAGCTAATAAGAACATCTGAATTAAAAAAAGTAAGTTAGATCATAAATACAAAATTAATAAATCATCTGATTTAAGGTACACAGTCTTTGAGAAGTTATATCATGAATGCAAGTCTAATGCATTAATTAGAACTTTAATTTCTAGCCCACCTGTGGATCCCATTACGTCCCAAAGCAAATTAATAGCATGAAGCTGATCAAGTGATTTTATAATTAATGACCACACAGGAAACACTTGTCGTACCCACCTGTTCACGAAGCCATCTATCAATCTGAAACTTCTTCCCTCCCTCCTCTAGTTCCTCTTTCTCCAGTGCCTGGCATACCTCAGCCTGGATACGCATAATCAGTGCTTCTACTTGGCACTTCATATCATCTCTATGCTTAACAAAACAAAAATTACAAATCATGTGTTACAAATACCATGAATATTCTATACTTAAGAAAACAAGTGTTATCATGGTGATATAAGAACAGATTCCCATTAAACTGAATATATGCTTTAACAAAACATGGTGATATAAGAACAGATGCCCATTAAACTGAATATATGCTTTAACAAAATATGGTGATATAAGAACAGATTCCCATTAAACTGAATATATGCTTTAACAAAACATGGTGATATAAGAACAGATTCCCATTAAAATGAATATTTGCTTTAACAAAACATGGTGATATAAGAACAGATGCCCATTAAACTGAATATATGCTTTAACAAAACATGGTGATATAAGAACAATATTCTGATATTCTAGCAGTCCTTATGGACAAAATATGGGTTTTTGAGCTGAAATGCATTAGAAAGACTCTGAGAATACAATGAACAAGGAAGAAAAGAAATAATGACATCCTGAAAGATCCGAACATCTAGGAAGATTGGCTTATCAAACAGCATCCTGTCTCAGAAACTGAAATATTTTGGTCTGAATAGGTTTGTTTCTCAAAAACTGAAATACTTAAACCATAATACCCCTTTCAACCTGAGAAGTCACAAAACCAACACTTCGAGCTAGGTCTAATTCCTCGTAAATGTCACTTTTCTGACTTGACTGTGACATGGTTATGACATGCATAGTTAATTTTATTGGTTGTTTTCAGGCCTATGCAATCGTTTAGGATGTCAAGATACTGAATAAAAAACAGCATTTACTGGGGTTTTCCTTTGCACCAAATAGCCTTTTTAAAGCCATGCTGACTTTATATTTTTCATGTAAACCTCAGTCAAAGGCCAAACATGAGTCACCCGATACATATGTTTTTTAGCCCTGTAGACAGTTTTCCATTTGTTTCAACCAGTTTATGTTGAATGATTACTCCCTTTATGCATCTTTATATGGGGGGGGGGGGGGGGATTTGTTGCTTTACTGATTTATTTTTCCTGGAATTCCAATAGGGATATGACCATTTTTTTGGCTAGTGTTTTTGGGGTGGGAGGGTTAAATGCCATAATGGTTGGAACAAAACAGTAATGAAGGGTATGGTTCTTGGAAAAAGAAGCAGGCAAGGCTCTATTCAATATATTTCAGGACCAACTAAGATTTCACCAACATTTTTGCGAAGATACTAACACTTATTTTACATCTACTACCTCCTTGAGATGCTCCAGATCTGTGATCGGTGCTGCCATCCATGTATCTGAACTATCCAGGTCTAATTTCTTTGTTCCCTGGAGAAAACAAAACAAATCTGGCTACGTTAATCACATGTGCTAATAGAATAACTAGCACTTAATACTTATCTTCTTCTTCTTCAGCTTTTGGAGCCCTTGAGGTTTACTGCTGCAGATATCTCCCGCATCCATTCATCTCTCTGGTGGGCCTTCTCTTTCCAGTTGGTGATACCAAGTGTTTGCAGGTCTGTCTGGATATTATCTCTCCATCGTCTTCCTTGTGGTCTATGGCCATTTATCCCCCTTATATAATACTTAAAGGAAATTTAAAATATTACAGAAGTAACAAATGATAAATATTGAAAGAAGGATGCTTGTAATAACACAAAAAACATGCAAAAATGCTGACTGCACCAAAAAACTTCTCAGAAATGAATGTGCATGACATGAGAAAATATGGCTACATACGAACATTTCTCAACAGTGGGAGCAAAAATTCTAATCACTTCTATCTTATGTGTGTATGTCTCTTCTGTCACCAAATAGAAAAATGACATACTTTCAAACTGATGTCCAAAAGCCCACACTGACCAAATCACTATGTTCTGCACATATCCAGAATAAGTCAGCCAAAAAAGGAAAGAAATACAAATCTGCCACTGTAGATCAGAGCTTTCCATACTGTATGTCGTAAAACAATATTGTACCAGTTGCAGAGTGAAGGTGAAGCACTAAACAGAACAATCAATTTACGTATGTGTCGGTATCTCTTATAAGGGGTTAGTTAAATCTCTGGTTTGCTAGGAGACTGAATTGCTGATTCATGAAATTATGTATGTCTAAAAAGTGTGTCACAAACATGAGAAGTCTGGAGAGCTTTGGGTTTGACGCATGCCTGTCAACCTTAGGCACAAATCCAAATTAAGGTGGATTTATATAAATGACTCTGGACTCCAAGATGACAATATTAAATAGGTCAGAGAAAATGTCCTCAGAAGAAAAGGTGGCCAGTGAGATGCTGACCAATTCATATAGTGAATAAAAATAGGGATCACATGCCTAATGTGGCAGTGATATGAAAAAGGGTGTTTTTATTATTTCTTCTTTCTTACTTCTTATACTATAAAGCATCACAGAGTGGTCAGTTGTAGTTTCTTTTGTTTTACTGGTTGCGTAATTTGTATTTATGTCATACTGAGTTCCTGAAGTGTTTCTTTTACTCCTTCCACCCAGTTCTTTCTTTGTCGACCTCATGACTTGTAGCCTGCTGCGCTCCTGTAGTACGTTCTAGCTGCTGGCTGATTTTGTTCTATTCTGACCAGACTTGCTAACTACTATAAAATGATGAAAGCAATTTCTGTATATAGACAAATCTGATCCCAATGTGTACAAGATAATTTTGGTCCATACAGTCTACAGTGAGTTAACTAAGTGTGACTGAACAGGCCAAAAACTACCTGCATGCAGTAAAAGAAATGTCAGCGGGTCTTGAAAGCAAAACTCACCCCAAAGTTAAACAGCGAAAACTGACAAATGACTCCACTTCCTAAAAGCTTGAAACAGAATCTGAAATCAAAAGGAAATATTCAAGACATGAAATCAAATATCATTAACTGAGGTGAGTTGTACTATTTAATCAAGCATGTGACCGAATACATCGTCTTCTTTGTATTCACTCTTAAAAAGGGCAGCTGCCAGCTGTGTTGTGGTTTACTGCTAGGCTTTGATATCTGTACCTTTCAGCCCAGCACATATAATTTCAGCTAATCCTTAATTATTCTTAGCTGTCTTAAGTCCAGGTTTTAACTTCGCCGCAATCAGGTTCCCCCCATACTTGCTCGATTCCTGTGCCAGTGAAAATCAGAGGAAATATTCCTCACTGTCCAATTTAAAAATCTGGTGAACAAAAATTAGTCCAAACACCTTATGTATATCCTTAATGAGTCACTTTCTAAGACATGCTTGTTAAAGAGCAGTTAGTCGTCACCCCAACTAACAAAACTACAACTTAGCTTTCAACACTCTAATGTGACATTATCAGGTATAGAATTACTTACTCCTAAATTTTGATAGTGTTTTCTTTTTTTCTTGTCTAGCCTCTGCAGCTTATATGGTCTTTTGCTGCAAGCACACTATGTTTCCACCTCTCTGCATTGTAATGTTGCTCCAGTTCATGACACTCAGTTCTCCTAAACATATTCTAATTTGTCTTGGTCATCATTCAGAATATGCTTTCTCCGACTCCATGGATCCATTTGTTGAGCATAACAGAACCATCTGAAAATGCTGAATTAATGCCTCTGGTAGCTAATGGGTGCTTATATAGACCCATGAGGTGTGTGTTTCTGCTCTAGATATGTATAAGACTACAATAAAAGAGAATTTAACACAGTAAAAGTATAATGAAAAGAAAAAATGCATTGGAGAAAACAGCATGACCTTGTGAGAGTTGGATTAGAAAAACAGAAGAAATAACAAAAACAACCTTTTATACAGTTTGTCGAAAAGGATCTGTTTAGAAAGCTCTTCCAATGCGAGAAACAGGCAGGAGAAGAAGCACACTTGTTCAATCTAATAAATTTAAAACATGAAAATCGACCATACATCAATTCTGACAAAGCCAGAATGTATCACTCACCTGTTTTGCCTGATCCTAACTGATGTATAAGCCAATCGAGCAGTTCCTAAACGCACCACTGTTCTCACACATTGACTGTATAATCTCGACATGTTCAGCTCCTGTTGCTTGCTAAATGTGCAGGAGATTTCACTCTCTTTTTACTCCCTGATCAATACCGACACAAATTTTTGCATTATATGCCTATAAAAAAAGCAAGATAAAAACATAAATTGCATACTATAAAGTTTTGGTTGCATAAAACCACAGGCAATATGCGAGCAAGTTTCAATATGTATATGTATTTTGGGTATGAGTTTAATTTTATTTTGTAAAGCAAAATAAAAAATAATTCATCAGTGTTTTTTTTTCTATCGTTTTTCTATGTGTAACAAAAATTTCCCTAGATTGTTCACTTCTTTTTTCTTCTTTAAATACTGATTTATACTCTACATTTTGATAATTCTCACAAAACTGTCATGATCTAACCAAAAGTAGGCAACACCTCGAAATTTTCACCATCACTCTACTACATTCTTCTTCTTCTAAAACATAAATTTAAAATAAATCCATCGATGGCATTCTTCTAGAAAAAAAAGTGCCAGTGCTAATCCTAAAGTGTCTAAAAAAAGTGCTAATACTCACTATAAAATGTCAATTACAGTAGCAGTGAAAGGGTTATGCCTAAAATAAGGTGGTGAGACTGCATACTGTTGCATACGGCCAGGGGAAAAAAACCTGAATTTAGCTTTCAATGTTGTGAGCAGGGTTGATTAATTTTTAGATCATATGCTTTGGATATGGTTCTGGCACCTTTTTTTTAACAGGCATTATTGTTTCTAACACTGATGTAACAGACATTTTGCAGTGAGTGCCAGCACTTTTTTAAAAGACACTTTGTGGTTAGTACCATCACCTTTGTTTCTAGCAAAAAAAAAGCACTTGTTAGAAGAAAGGTTCGTGGCGCGGTGATTTCGGTCACAGGCATGAGGCAAAGTTAAGTCTGATGTGAGGTGTATAAGGAGATACTCCGTACCCCACTCGGGCACCAGTCCTTCACTGTTCTGGTTTTACGGAACCTCATGCAAGACTCCTGCTGCACGTCCCCCGTCGTGCGCCACGGATAATGTCTCAAATGAGCATTAACAGAGTTGGCAGGGGATCTCGGAGCTGGCGGCCCCTAGAGGTGTAGTGTCCTTTCTGGCTCTCACCAGCCCGCCCTCAAACGCATGGGTGAAAAGTCTAACAAAACTCAAGGATTGCTTGCTAAATGTACCATCAAATGACAACTCTTGGTTAAAATTCAGGAGGGAATTTAAAACTGTGCTGCTGAGACTCAACCCTGACCGAGAGATTTACCCGCAGCCAAGACGAGTAACATCTCTTGTGGGCGCAGCAAGATCCTACCTACGTACATCCTCAATCCTCAGTGTCGTCATCACCGCGCTGAAGTACACCACGGCAGCAACTTTTCATATGCTGGCTTGGAAATAATGTCCGACAAAGTTATACCCCACGGCACACATGCAAGCTCAGAGTCCGACGATCATAATTCGTACCGATTAGGGAAAAGTCCGAATGTCCGTATCCACTGGTCCAACTCGCCCGAGTGTTGGGACCAAACAGGTGAAGCCACGCCTGACGCATTTTGCTTCCCCATTCTGTCATGCTAAGGGCACAGCTGAAACAACGTTAAAGGTGTCTAACGTAAGATGAAAAAGAATGTACCTATTTGTGTGGCCACAAACGTCCTAGACCTACGGGCTGCTCCCCGCTGATCTCCGGAGAGCGCAGCCTTGTAGCTCGGGAAGCTCAATACACGGTTGTGAGGTTAAGCAGTCATGGGCAGGATGTTACGATTCCTTGGGTGAGCCCAGAACCAGAGCATCATGTGTCGGCTCTGCATTTATGGAAGCCTCCTTGGATGGCGGGGAATGCCCATGATCTGCCCCTGCCTTCCCTTGAGGGCTGAAAACTCTACATAGAGCTGCCTTAAGGGCGACATTCCGGGGGCCACACCTGTTAAAAGTCAAAGAAGACAGCATACAAATGAGGCAACATCTCGACCCACACAAAACAATGGCCACAGTCAACCTAGAAATAGGCTTGACGTCTTCCTCTGAAGTCGGAGTACGTCTGCCGGAGAGGCGGGGAACGAGAACTGCAAACAAATAAGCCAGTAAAACGGATGTACACGCAAAACTCAGGTCAAGGTAAAAGCCAAAAGTCCATTTTGGACGAACAACCGCGACTTACCGCCGGAATTCACAGCCGGTGAACAAGAAGAAGAAGAAGAAGAAGAAAGGTTCCCTTTCCACATCTTTATGTGAACTCTGCATATTATGCTAGCCCCCTATTTTATAGACTCAACAGTACTCAGCGGATGATGATGTCAATATCCTGACAGCTACCTTTTGTTCTCAGAACATTACTGGGTACCAAGTTTAAACTGGGTCAACAAAGAAACCTATGGTAAATCTTACAAATTTGCCTCAGCAAGAGTTTGAACTTGGCCCTGGACTGACAGGCAGGCATATGCTAGGCACTTCTCCTTCTTCTTTTGTTGTCACACTGTTACTGGGTTGTAGCCCAGTGTCATGGTTTTCTGTAATTGTCATGCGCCTCTCAAGTGGCTTGACTGGTGGATTTTGTTGTTGTAAGATTTAGTTACACAACCTATCCATGTTTTTCTCGGTTTCAACCCAAATGTTCTTCTGAGGGTTTCATACAGTTTGGTATGGCTGCATTCTTACTAGACAGCCAAACTATTTCAAATATGTCTCTTAATGCAATTCAGATACAGTCTTGTTCCAATTTATTCTCCAATGCTGGTATTCATGGCTCCCTTAACTTAATTCTTGTGTTGTTGGTTGCATTTTGGGGAAATCTCATTTTGCTGGTAGTTATTGTCAGATTTTTGTTATCTACTCTATTTCCTATTTGTGTGTGTGTACAGGCTTTATTCTAGTAGTACACAAAAATATGCAGTGCCGGTACCTTTCTTTTAATCATTATGTTGTCAGCGCAACTTTAACATTGTGTGGTGGTGAGTATTGGCACAATTTTTAGACACTGTGGTAAGCACTGGTTTTCTAGAAAAAAAAACCTGTGTGTGTGTGTATGTATATATATATATATATATATGTGTGTGTGTGTGTGTGTGTGTGTGTGTACATCCATTTTTATTAGCAGCTATTACTATAACATTATATTATTATTACTATTAAAAACGTGACAAAACGAGGTCACAGAATTCTCCGAACTTTAGGTCTAGATCTGGAAGAAGCACAGCCACCTTTTGACAAACGGCATATGTAATACTAAGATATACATGACTTTGGATGACAATTTTCGAGTGCGTTCATCACGAAATCATAAGTTGATTAAATCTATAAAATCAGCCAAACAAAAAGCGTACGAAGTTAGCTCCGAAATGAACGACTGTGCAGTAATGCATCTAATTTATATATGAAAGCACACAACATTAACGTCTTACGAAATCAACCGTCCAAGCTGTTATGTGAAGAGACAAGCTGATAACCGTCACGATACTCCAAAAGCAGGCCGGAGGTTCTGCTACTGCTATGGAAGGTGGTCGCGGTGTACCTGCCATACGTCAACAAACCACCTCTCCGTGTGGCCTTGACCTTTGCCGTGTCGGATCAACCGGTCCCCGGGAAGATACGAAATATGTCACAAGATATATCAGTCCATATTGACACTGGCATTATTGAGGGTAGCCTATACACAAATATTATTAATAAATTAAATATATTTAATGCGAGATAATAGCAGCTAGGTCTAAAAATCCACAAAGAAAAGACAAAGATAATGAAAATAAATGAGGCCAATAGTAATGTGGTTTCTCTTAATGGCACACATTAGGAAATATGGAGTCATACACCTATTTGGGCAGAAATGTAGATAAAGATGGGGGAACTGATAGAGATATTAAAATAAGGATACAAAAGGCAAGAGGAGCTTTCATTAAACTAGGGAATTTGTGGAGGTAAAAAGAAATTAAAAGAAATACTAAACTTAAAATTTTTAATTCTAATATCAAATCAGTACTTTTGTATGGGGCGGAAACACGGAGAACAACTAAGGCGATTACTAATAAACTACAGACATCCATTAATTGGTGCTTGCCCAGAATGAAGGGAATTAAATTGTATGATAGAATAACTAATGTAGAGCTTTGAGCGAGAACTAAGCAAGCTCAAGTGGACCAAGAGGTGAGGAAATGTATATGTTAGCTATCCCTCGTGAAGAACTCGATATTTGATGTGTTGTTGTATTACCTTTACTAAGTTAATAATTTTCCATACTGCCCCATTAATTTCCAGAGATATTCCCTATCAGTGCTGTCTAAAGCTTTTTCATAGTCTATGAATCCACTGCAAAGTAGTGAGTTCAATTTAAGGCTTAGCTCTATTGTTATAAGTAATGCTGCTATCTGATCAGTACAAGATCGGTTTGGCCGAATACCTGCCTGTTCATCTCTTAGCTTTTTATTAATAGCATCTTTAAGCCTTTTTCGTAAAAAATCTTACTTAATATTTTTCCAGGAACTGACAGCAACATATTTCCTCTATAGTTTTTATGCTCTTGTAGATCACCTTTTGTGGGCAGTTTCAAAATATCCTTCTTTCCAGTCTGCTGGTATTTTTTCCCGTCTCCCAGGCTTATACTAAATAATCGAATTAGCATGTGTGCATTCTTGATAAATTTGGGCAAGGAGAGGAGTGGGTCAAAGTGTCTGTCCGAGCAAGAATCAAACGTGTAGGGTTCTAATCCATGTAGTGTTTATATTTTTCTAGGACTCTCCATGTCTGGCAATGAGAGCACAAAGTTGGTTCGAACAGAGCATTTATCAAAGTTTTGTGTGTGAATGTTGATATTTTGGAGCATCAAAAGTGGCGCTGTTTGATCATTTATGTTGTTTGCCTTCTATCTTCCCCCTGGAGATTGATTTCTAATAAATCTTTAGTATCTGTGGTCCAGGTATTTTCCTCAAAATAAGAAATACCCCTGGCAGGTTTGAGGTCTGTAGGTTTCAGCTGCAGTTGAAGTGGCCATGAACTGAAAAGGAAATAATAAGTCCATCTACAGAAAACAACTAATTCATCAATCTTTTTCACACAAAAAGGGGGGGGGGGGGGGGGGGGGGTTGACAAAAAAATGTGCCGGTACTGTGAACCGTTGCGTACCACCGTAAAAAAAAAGTTCTGCATGAACAGAACAACTGAACAATGGAATGCTGAATATAACACAAAATGTGACTAGAAAGCTCAACGGGAGGAAAGGAAAAGGCGCACACAAATACAACCGAACGTTTCAACCAAAGTCTTTATCAACGGAGTACTAAATACAGCACACAATGTGACTGGAAAACTTAACGGACAAGAAAATTGGGCTAAAAAAAAAAACCAAGGTCAACATAAAAGAAAGAAGTTTGTAATGGAAAAAAGGGGGGCGAGGGTGGTATGAATATGAGTGACTATAATACGAAACGAAATAAGTAAGAAGGCGTAATGAACACTAAAGTGAACTAAGTTTTGCAGCGTGTATGGTTTATTAATAGAACAATACATTTGCACCACAAGCACCTACAAGTGAAACATTCAGGAACATGAGGTTTCACAAGGATAACAATGGACTCCTACCTTATCACTTCTTTGTTGTTTGTTCCTAAAATTACTTTGATTTGTCTGGGACATATCAAGAAACTTTAGTGCTCTTTCAGCCGTGAAAGATGCACTAAAATACAGGCTTTAGTCGGGTATTGTTGGCAGTAACTGTGTTGTAGCAGTGTTATTAGATCTGCCCTTCTTTCTGTTTATTCTTTAAAATGATGTATGCGTATATATGAACCAAAACGTGTATACTAAATACTACCGTTGTTGTCGGCATGCATGGCTTAGTTGTCGCAAACGTGCTTCATAATGCCGGCGTGCTGGGTTCGATCCCAGCTGCGGACGATTTCTTTTGCGTTGGTTTTGACAGTGGTACCGAGAGCTGACCGTTCATGAAGCAATGGCAAACTTTTTTTTGGGTGTCAATATCTGCTTATGCCGCTAGGCGTCGCTGTTCATCAGACTATCGGCAGCCGAGCTAGGGCGCGCTCAGTCGCTTGAAATCCATCTTCTTCGTAGTCTCCCCCTGCCTCTAAATGTTTAGATTTTCAGGTTGTATGCTCTTGCTGCTGGCATACTACTGAACGTAAATTTTGCCTAGAAAACCCACAACAGCCAAACAATTCTGGGGCTGGTTCTGCAACGTCCTGTAAAGGATACGCAAGAAATTTTTTTTTTTAGCTATTGTTGCTAACCTGTCTGATACAGAGCTCGTTTTTTTTAAAGAAGGCTGGCACTTACCGCAGTGTCTAAATAAGGTTGAGCTGAACTGTGTTTAAGGAACAAACATGACAACACTTAGGTCATTCTCATATGTGATTCGTCCCCATCTTCAGCAGCCAACGATTCGTCCTAACTCTGATGGTACCGGTAGCAGTCTATTGTATGTTCGTCTCGCATTTCCTCTCGAGTGTGAAAATGTCCGCCAAATCCGGTGATCACCCCCCTCCCCCACGGCCCCACCCCCGTTGCGTCACTCTTCCGTCCATGATAATCCAGTTGTGCCTCTGCATTGTTCACTTGTTTCCCCCCCCCCCCACACACACACACACACACACAAACTGGCTTGTTATGCATTAGTTCAGAACAAACCAGTCTGTCTGCCCTTCTTTTCCCAACACATTTCCATTTCCCGCTAACTATGCTGGACCTTGTGCCAGACAGCCAGGAGCATACCTGTCTTTAACCAGCATGCTTTGCGAGTCAGTTACAATCACAACATGGCGCTTGCATCTGATTCTGAGGCCGCAGAAACGGTCTCTACCTCCATTCTCAAACTAGATGTTGTGTATCATATGCCAAGCTTTTGTGCACTAAGGGTCGCCCATTCGCTTTAAAAAAAGGAGTGGGGGAGGGGAGGGGGTAGTTATTTAGCATAAGGGAGGAGGCATGGCGTCCAGTGTTCTTTTTCTGCATTAGTTTGGTCATCTTATGAAATAAAAATGGACGCTTAGTGAGGGCCCTAAGATTTTAAATTTCAGCCGCATAGGGACTGAATTTTTCTTTGACATTATCTCCCAGGTCGATCTGAGTATCTGGAAATGTTATGGGAAAATAAAAAGCTGGTGTAATGTTGACAATATCATTCTTCGAGTCAGCACTGGTCTTCAAAATATGTTTCTAGTGCTATATGCCCAGAACGCTAATATCAGTTAAAGGATCCTTTAGTTCAGTGTTTCCCAAACTTGTCTTAGTCGCAGTGCCTTTTTTCAATTAAAAATTTCCATGAACCTAAGTAAAAGTATGACTATTTATATATAAGAAAAAAAAACCCAATAAAACTCGTGAATGTTCGAATATTTCGCGGCACCGCTGTAAAGAGGTCGCAGCTCCCTGGGGCGCTGCGGCGCACAGTTTTGGAATCACTGCTTTAGTTGCTTATTTTCCCTAACTTTACTATTACGTTACGCTTGAGTATGTACAATTCAGAGAAGCTGTTTATTTTCATTGCCTGTAATGTGGCTTCTTGGCTTATTTCTTGACCAGCAGCGACCTTAGTTCTCCTCTTGCTGTCAAAAACCAACTCATTATTCCTACTTCCTCGCCTCCAGTTTTTTTTTTTTTCCCTTCACGAGTTTGCTTCTTACAATCATCACTTGTTCACGAGGAAATTAGTAGTCTTCTTTGGATACTTCTTGAACAATCCTTGGTTTCAATTGTGGTACCGAGAGCTGTACTTTAACAAAGCACTGGCCAACTACTAAACGTAAAATGAGCCTAGAAAAACAACAACAGCAAAAAACAAAACAAAAATGTGCCCGGGTTGATTCTGCAACTTCTTGTAAAGTATACGAAACTATTTCAGTTTTAATTTGCTTGCTTAAAAAAATTCAGCATTGTATGTTATTCATATCTGGAGCCATGTTGGTACAGTAGTTTTAAAGACATGTTGTTTTCTGCATCGCTAATAGCAGGCTGTAGCCCAGTGACGTGATCTAAAACTTCTCAGGTGGCTTGAGTAATGGATTTATCGTTGTGTAGGTTTCACCTATACCATTTATCAATCTCTTTTTTTTTTTTTTTTGGACTTCTCCTCACCTTTCTCCCAAATGTTTTGATGTTAAAAAAAAAACAGAATGCAGTTTAGTCTGGCTCCACTCTCACTAGATGGCCTAGACCTTTCATCCTTTATTCTGTCAAAATAGTTCAGGAATGGTCTTATTCCAACCTTATCTCTAATGATGGTATTCGTAACCTTGTCCCTTCTTGTGTTGTTATTGACTTTGCGGAGACAGCGCATTTCGCAGGTAATTATTAACTGTTTATATGCCCTAATAATTGTTCTCTCTTATGAAGTAGTGTTTGATTACACCGCTGCCGGCTTACTAGGCCCGTCGTGTGGCGTGGCAGAGAAAAAAAAAGGGACCTGGTTGGCGCCCGTCTCTTCCCAGTCTAGCCATTGCTCCATTATCCCCCTTCGTCTTCTTGTTCACCGGTTGTAAACTCGGGAGGACAGTTTTGATTGTTCGTTCACCCGTAGACTATTTCCTGGACTAAGTGTTGCATACTGTCTTTTGTATGCATAGGCCTACACTGTCGCTCAGGCATTGAGCTTGACTTATAAGGATGCACCCAATTAGTCGACTTCTATGACATGCTTACTGGAGAGACAGTAGGCCTGTTCTTGTTTTCCTCACATCGGGTCCCCCATCTGGCCTGAAAGCTTACGTCTTGAGTTGTGTTTTTTTTTTAAACTTCAGGTCGTCGTCATGTCGAAAGATGTTAAACAGCTGTCAGATTTACCAGAAGTCGGTGACGACATTGACGAGACGTCTGAATACTATAAGAGGAATGTTGTGCCTGTCGACCGAGGTTGGGCTTGGGTCATCTGTTTCGGTGAGCCGATAAAACACAGCAGTGCCCATACATACAATACAACATCACCCACACATACATCACAGCAGTGCTCACGCTTACATCACTGCAGCGCTCACACTTACATCACAGCAGCGCTCACACTTACATCACAGCAGCGCTCACGCTTACATCACTGCAGCGCTCACACTTACATCACAGCAGCGTTCACACTTACATCACAGCAGCGCTCACGCTTACATCACAGCAGCGCTCACACTTACATCACAGCAGCGCTCACACTTACATCACAGCAGCGCTCACGCTTACATCACTGCAGCGCTCACACTTACACCACAGCAGCGCTCACACTTACATCACAGCAGCGCTCACACTTACATCACAGCAGTGCTCACGCTTACATCACAGCAGCGCTCACACTTACATCACAGCAGCGCTTACGCTTACATCACAGCAGCGCTCACACTTACATCACAGCAGCGCTCACGCTTACATCACAGCAGCGCTCACACTTACATCACAGCAGCGCTCACGCTTACATCACAGCAGCGCTCACGCTTACATCACAGCAGCGCTCACGCTTACATCACAGCAGCGCTCACACTTACATCACAGCAGCGCTCACGCTTACATCACAGCAGCGCTTACACTTACACCACAGCAGCGCTCACACTCACACCACAGCAGCGCTCACACTTACACCATTCCAACACACATCACCCTGCAAACACCTGCACGTAGATTTCTAAAGGGATAAATGGACCGACCAATTGACGGTCAGAGAGACAAAGAGACAGGGTGGGAAGGGGGTAACAGACAGAGGGACTGGTGTATGAATGGATAATACTTGCATAAATAGGTAGACTGACACATAGGCATACAGAAAGACAGACCGACAGGCGGACGGACGGACGGACGGACAGACAGACAGACAGACCAGACAGACCAGACAGACCAGACAGACAGACAGACAGACAGACAGACAGACAGACAGACAGACAGACAGACAGACAGACAGACAGACAGACAGACAGACAGACAGACAGATAGATAGATAGATAGATAGATAGATAGATAGATAGATAGATAGATAGATAGATAGATAGATAGATAGATAGATAGATAGATAGATAGATAGATAGATAGATAGATAGATAGATAGATAGATAGATAGATAGATAGATAGATAGATAGATAGATAGATAGATAGATAGATAGATAGATAGATAGATAGATAGATAGATAGATAGATAGATAGATAGATAGATAGATAGATAGATAGATAGATAGATAGATAGATAGATAGATAGATAGATAGATAGATAGATAGATAGATAGATAGATAGATAGATAGATAGATAGATAGATAGATAGATAGATAGATAGATAGATAGATAGATAGATAGATAAATAGATAGATAGATAGATAGATAGATAGATAGATAGATAGATAGATAGATAGATAGATAGATAGATAGATAGATAGATAGATAGATAGATAGAGAAGAACAAATAATTTGTTTGAGGACTACCGCTGTTCAATTCATAGTTTGATGGCTATGAGCGTAGTTTATAATTCCAACATCCCAGTTCAATTCAGCTGCTGGCGTTTAGGCGGAGGGCCACTTTGAGTCGATTTCATTAATGCATGTGCGTTACCGCATGCAGCGAAATTTAAAGACATTCGAAATCAATAAGAAAGACCACTAGTGCATTGCTTTCAAAGACGCCAAATACTGGGAAAGCCAGATTTCTTAGTGTGCTGTGACCAACTGTGATAAGTATTAGAACATGTTAGATGTCGAGTGGGATTCACAGAGTAAAGTAAGTAAAGACCCATTTTCCACACACTCTGGCTTTTTTGGCATATAGAGCTAATCTATATTTTATAGACCAATCGGCACTCGGTGGGTGATATGGTCAACAACTCGCCGGCAGCCTTTACTTCCCAGGACTGTACACGGTACCCATTTAATTTAGACTGGGTCGGCCTGGGAGTCAAGGTAATTTTTTTTCAAGTACGGCTCCCTCAGGATCCGAACCCACGACAGTCCTATCCGCAGGGGAGCTTTTATCCACTGCACCATGGCGGCCCTAATCACAGAAGTGCCAATCACATATCTCTAGTTGTGGGAAATGAAAGATTTAAGGGGATAAGAATTTTAGAAAGGCCATAATTTGTTGCTTTTTACGATATGCGTGTCAAGGAACAGTGGATATCTTATCATGTGGCCCTCAAAATTATATACCGGGTCATACAGTGAGGAGACCTTATATATTTAAATTAACTTGCACAGACAACTTTTTCTTCTTCTTCTTCTTCTTCTTCTTCTTCTTCTTCTTCTTCTTCTTCTTATTTCTTCTTCTTCTTCTTCTTCTTCTTCTTCTTCTTCTTCTTCTTCTTCTCCTTCTTCTTCTTCTTCTTCTTCTTCTTCTCTCTTCTTCTTCTTCTCTCTTCTTCTTCTTCTTCTTCTTCTTCTTCTTCTTCTTCTTCTTCTTCTTCTTCTTCTTCTTCTTCTTCTTCTTCTTCTTCTTCTTCTTTTTCTCTTCTTCTTCTTCTTCTTCTTCTTTCTTCTTCTTCTTCTTCTTCTTCTTCTTCTTCTTCTTCTTCTCTTCTTCTTCTTCTTCTTCTTCTTCTTCTTCTTCTTCTTCTTCTTCTTCTTCTTCTTCTTCTTCTTCTTTCTTGCTCTTCCGTTCTTCTTCTTCTTTCTTCTTTCTTCTTCTTCTTCTGCTTCTTCTTCTTCTTCTTCTTCTTCTTCTTCTTCTTCTTCTTCTTCTTCTTTCTTCTTCTTTCTTCTTCTTCTTCTTCTTCTTCTTCTTCTTCTTCTTTCTTCTTCTTCTTCTTCTTCTTCATTCTTCTTCTTCTTCTCTCTTCTTCTTCTTCTTCTTCTTCTTCTTCTTCTTCTTCTTCTTCT